CCGGCTGCGCCGAGGCGAGTCTCATCCGTATGCATCCTTGTAGTAAAGAGACCCGGACGGCGCGCCGGTGCACTTGGCGCGGGACTCAGCCGCTCCGGTTCTTCGCCACCGCGCGCCATTCCGGAGTATTTACGAGACCCGACATGACTATTCGTTTCGACTGTCACACGGGTTCGACCGGGAACGGTTGCCTAGGATTTCTCCCGGTCGAAGAGTCGATTTATCAGGGTGATCGTTTCGCATTCGGTCGCGCCAGACCCTGCCAAATTTACGCGATCGTTTATGGCGAGCCGCACCTCGCCCGGTCCCGTTCATTTACGTTTGACTATTGTTTTTCACTTAATCGGCCCGCACCGCCAAGAGAGGAAGTATCGGCGAGTTGTAATGGTTTCCACGGGAAGCCTATGCGCCATATTTCTCTTCCCCATCGAGTCCTGGTCGCTCTTAAGGCGACATGAAAGTGGCATCAATCTCGTTCATGAAACCTTTCTCCAAACTAGGTTCACTGAATCGTTTGAAAATGGTTATTTTTTCAATTCGTTGTAAGAAATTTAATCTCACGGGTGGAGGGAGCTTCCTTATAGCCTTCGCGTTCACGTTGTAAAGTTTAAAACGACTCGGTACATCCAGCTCGGGGAAATGTTTCATGACCGCTCAGACGCCACTTTCGCACCCCCTTAATCGCAAAGGAAGGTGACGCGAATCCGAGAAACGAGGTCGAGCTCTTCGGGTGCGAATCGGTCTTAAGTCTTCTCTCAAAGTCAGTCGTTTCAAAATTCTCCCTCGACGTCTGGACCGCGTTGGACGCGGAATTTAACGCGAGTAGTCGTCGCCATTTTTGCCGCTCGGAGTAATTGTTGTCGCGGCCCTTTTAGACTCGTCAGGGACGAAACACGGACGATCGGTGGGCAATAGATGTCCCGTGGCGGAGGAGAGTTCGTAAGCTGCTTATATTTTGAATAAAGCTGGGCCATTAATGCTACCTTACTAAAGCTTACGGAAAGCTTGCACACGCGCGCCGCGTCGTAGGTGTACGGATTAAAACTGCACGCGAAACGCACACCGACGCATCGCACGCACCGACGTAATTCGGGTGGCAGCATTATCTGCGTTCATCGAAAGCTCTCATCCGATAAAATAATAACGCTCGGGTGTTGTTGTTGTTTGCCCTCCCGTTTGCCCTGTCGAGCTTGGAAGAAAAATCCGTCACCCAGTCTGCGGTATATAAGTATTTCAAAGAGGAGAAATGCTCGCCAAGTGCGCGGTTAACAGCCACCCTGAGAGAGGAATATCACTGAACCGAAGAAGTATTTTATTAATTAAAAGAATAATTATTTCGCTCAAATGAACTGGAATGAAATTCGATGCAACATTTCTTTGGAATCGCGGCAATTTATTTTAGCCAAATAATTATTCCTTTGAGCTAGCGAAATGTTTCTTTCGTTCGATGAATTTTTTTTTGCTCCCTCAGCGTGGGAAACTTTTTTAATGTTCATTGAAATATTTTGGGGACGGAAGAGATTTTTCCCTGCGACGGTGCTTAACTCTTTCGTAAACACTAGCGGAATTGAATCCCGCCCCGGAAGTAAATTTCCTCAATGGATTCGTTAGTCCGCTTCCGCGTTAAAGCGGCGACCGGTTAACGGCCCGTTAAATATGCATTCACTTATCTCGAATTCCCTTACAGTTGCAGTTTCCGCGGTAATGCAGTTCGACCCATTAGTTGCAACGAGTGGGGTGCTCGAGGTTATCCCGGCACAGTCGTAAAGATTATTTAATCGTTCCATGGACACCGGTTAAGCCGCGTAAACGCTTTAACTTGGAACAAGTCGAGACGGGGACATCGCGCCGTTAACGAGATCCACTATGCGGAATTCTTCAAATTTTAAATTCCAGTGGAATCGAGAACTCCCTGAAATCGGAAGCACCGAAAGGAACGTCGAAGAAAAATTTCGGATGGACCTAAAAATATTAAGGCGATGCGAAAATGGCGTCAGGTCTCGTTTACGATACTTTTCTCCGAACCAGGTGTACCTAATCGTTTCAAAATGTACAACGCGAATATGGAGGCTATAAGGAAGGTTTCGATGTGTTAATAATTTATTTCTATACGTTTTTTAAATTTTTTCTACATAATTAAATTTCATGGGGGTCGGGACCTTTCATATCCCCTTAAGAAACAAAAATCCTCTTACAGTTGGCGCCGTTTATCGGGCTCGCACGTCACCTGAGAATCTCTCGCGGAACACCGGTTCCCTCGGGACTCTCGATCGAGTGATCGATATCTTAACGATATCGACGCGAATCCGTGCAACGAGCGATCTCCCGACAAAGGACACGTGTACACACGTGTACAGGTCCTCTTCTTGCGCCTGCAAGGAGCAGGACCGTGAGATAAGATTCGCGATGCTGGAAACAACGACCAGATCAGGTCCGCAACCGGTCTCGCGAATGTCGAGCATCGAGAACGGGGATCGCCTTAATCTTTCCAATATTCACAAGAAGGTTGGACGAGTCCCGATGTATCGGCAGAAATAACATAAATCGATATCCCGAGTGAATTACCAGCGGAGAATCCATAATTCTCTACTTGGAGGCACCTCGCCGTTGTCGGTAGAACAATGTAGAGGATTCACAAGCTAATGCGGATCTACCGACCGACATCCGGGCTTTGATAATAATCCTCTAATGCGTTCGTATCAACGTGACACGTTAACCATATGTCAATCCTCCACGTGGAGTACACGCCGCGCACAGCAGCCTGGACGTTTCCCATCATCTGCATTAAAGAGAATCCATTCTCGATATCCGCGTTCCTGAGGCTGAGCCTGCTGCTGGGACGCGACTCCATCTTGTCTAGGGCCGAACGAAACCGAATTACGGAATAATCCCAACTTCTCTCATCCACGGGACTGCCTCTTGGAGAAACTCCAGGCAAACTAGATGGTACTTGTTGCGATCGTCCCGACACTTTTCCACAATTGAAGTGCGCTCATATTGCGGTACCGAGCGAGAAAAAGCTGGAATTCTCTAAATGGGCCGCAACTTGGATAGGTAAAAAATACCAAAAGATGCTGAGGGTCGACTCGGATAACGTAACAACGTTGTATTGTCCGGGGAACGATCTTGGAAAAGGAATCCTAAGTTCGAGGCGGTTCAAAGGCGAAGCGGAGGAAGTTCCGCCCGGTTCGCTCTTCGACGCTTAACCATCCCGAACCATCCCGAACCATCCCGGACCATCCCGGACCATCCCGGACCATCCAGGCCGGATGGTGGACCGAACTCGTTTCACCTGTGGGCCGCGTAAAAAAAAGGACGGAAAGAGGGGAAACGGCGAGGCAGCAAGGCTGTAAAACGAGTGGGTGAACTTTATCGAGGCCCTCATCAATATTTACGAGGATAAGTCCTGATTCGATTCGATTCCCTCTCGGGGACGCGTACTATCAAACTTCTGCCAGTCACCGCTCGACTCCCCTATCTCTCTCTCCCTCGTAAAAGTCACCCAGTTTAACTGGAAAAGCAGATCCTTACTCGCGCCCCGGAAGACCTCTCCGAAACCCGTAAGCTCCGGTCTATTAGCTCCATAGGACTCCATGGGACTTGATGGGAATCGTGGGTGCACACGGTTCGCAGCCTTCCTCTCCTCGACTGGTCCATTGAGAAACTCGGTAGAGTTTCGCGCCAAATACATATAACAAGCGCGAAACACTGACCTAGTCGGTATCAGCAATGTTTAGCCTGGCGCGTCAAACTGGACAGGAAATGTCGTTTTCTGAATGGTCGATTTCTCCGATTTCGGAGCTCCGATATTTTGGGTCCTGGGTATTGGGACAGTCTATCACTGGGTTAACGAATTTATCTCGTGAGAAAGTATCTCGGGTGTCGGTCTCTCAGCTGGAGGAGGCTTTTTACGCCCGCTCGGCGCGTGATGCCCAAACGCGGTTGTTTATGGCGTTCAGTTTACGTCGCGTTTAGTTTATGCCCTAAAGTTTGGCGGAATACGTCGAGGGTGAATCTGCAGCTGCGTGTACGGGGTTAGGGAACGTGTCAGGCACATGCGACGTGGGACGTAAAATACATGCGAGGATTGCGAGGATACCACGGCATTGCGGTTGCCATTCTTCGAGGTGGGTTGTCTTTCTAGCCTTTTCGGGTTCCCTGATCTTATGGGTGAAGAGATCTTCGGTGGGATCGTCACATGGGGATGTATTGAAAATATTGGATATGGGGGATAAGTGGGATGATCGATTCGGCGACTCCACTCGTGGGAGCGGTCCATTTTCGGTTTCGAGGATGCACAGCATCCGTGGGCATGGACCCTCCGATCGGTCTAGATTGTTGACATCCGCCGAGACCATTCGACGATCCCGATCTGCAGCAGGAGAGCAGCTAAGTAGACAGGCGGCTGCATTTTACCGAGTGGACGTAAACGTGTGTGCGTCGATCGGCCACAAGTACAAGTACAAGTACTCTACCTCGGATGAGTCACGGAGATTAGAAGCAGCGGACGAACTCCCTGCAAAGTCGCTTCTGGGATCTTATTCTTCGTTACTTCGTACCGACTTTTTCGCATACTAGATTCGCACGAAAAATTTCACATTGTTGCAAAGTCCTCGGTCAACATTCGAAAGCCGTATAAAAAACTATCAATTTTGCACGCTAAAGTTGATCGTACACCGAGAAAAAAGAATTTCACCGAACCAAAGAAATATTTTGTTAATTCGATACAATAATCATTTGACTCGAATAAACTGGAAATAATTATTCTTGTAATGAACAAGATATTTCTTTGGTTCAGTGAGATTTTTTTCTCAGTGTATGAACCACGAAGTAGGACGAGGAGAGATAATGCCGTATATTGAGAAGACATGAAATCGAGCGAATCCTGCAATTGTTTTCGAAATTGTCGGACGTCTGACCGAAGATGTCACTCGTAGATGTTTTCTTAGGTTTGATCGGAGCGATCGGACCAATTCTGATCGATTAGGTTGGAAAACGCCATGGCTGACGATTCCTTCGAAATTTTGGAGGTCCACCCTTTCCATCCTACCGATCCCCCCTACGGGATGCGGAATTACGATGTCGGGTGCCTATCGGCCGAGCAGAAGCTCATTCTGAACAAAGTGAAAATGAGTCAGCGGAGGCAGAATGAAATTTATTTGAGTGCTCATCCGGAAATCAGAGGTCTGATCTCCATCTTGTTAAGGTACGCCATGAGCGGCGGTGTAGTCTCATTAGATCCGCACCACATGTGCTCGATGTTAATGCAATGCGAAGGTCTCTATGTTGGGCGCATCGTACCAATTACGGCGACTCATCGTAGAGACAGCGGCATAATTATCTGTAAGCAAAGGGAATCGCTATCAATTTGCCCGTGATATTATGGCGTTACGTCAATTGCGCCGATAGGTTACGGCTCATTGAAGCAGTGCTTCAAGCAAAGTTGTTAATTAAGCGAATGATGCATTAATGATTACTCTCCGTGGGCTATTTAGGTACGTCCTGAGAAAGAAGCCTCGAGAAAATGTCCACGAAACCGTCGGTGAGTTCTTCAATAGACCTCGCTTCAAGCTCGCTTCGGATCTCTTGAAGTATTTGGAAGCCGCAGGACACTCGATTCCTCTGACGAACGTTCTACGTAAAGAATTTTTCAAGGAGGATTCTTCGAGCAACGAGATGTCGGACTTTCAAGACTCCGCTCAAACCTCGCAATCAAACGTTACATGAAGTTGAACTTACTTCGAGAACTCCAAAAAGTACGATTTTATTAGGCAGGAAAAAATTCACACGGGTGATTGCGCGATAGTTAAAAGTAATTGGCAAATAGGTAAAGGTTAGGTGGCGAGATATCAGACGCCCACTCGAATCGATAAGTCACGATAAGTTATTGCTCGAAGTGCAGGTTTTACGCGAGGTTAACTCCACTAGTTCGAGCCCGAATCGCCCGGAGTAATAATTTATTTTTAATGGCCGATTTCAACAAGTGCCCGGTTGGCCCAGTTTTTTTATTTTTCATTTTTACTTTTTTTTATCATCGCTTTACTTACAAACTTGCGCAACGCGCGAGGGCATTTCCAATTCCCCGGCAAACATTTTGTAATCAGCCCGGAATATCGACCGGGGAATAATTTCCAATTTCGCTACGGGGAGGAAAAATTAAACAAAAATTTATTGCTCGCACATACCGGGAGTTATTTACGCTCGCCAAAAGGGCGTTATTCACTCGCCTGGCGATATTATATCCCAATTTTCTGGCCGATACCAGATTTGACGTACTCCACTTTGGCTTAACCAAACATACCCTAACCTAGTAAGCGGGGGCGAAGTGCCCCACGCTATAGCGCGTTATTAATTGCCCCTCGATTATAATCACGGTTGACGGGGTGCTCTTATATGCATTGCTTCCATTCAAGGAAGTTGCGAACACTACACCGATCCATTACGCCGAGTACGGAGCCCTTCTTCGATTCTTCGATTCGCCTTGAGGTTTCCCTTCTCGATCGCAATTACGGTATGGAAAAGGGAATTCCAGCAAAGAAATTGCGGAAAAAAGTGGTCCTTGAAGATCCGGCTGGCCCGAGGGAGGCTGGGCCAGCCAGTGGTTCCGTTATTAATGCGCTCATTAGCTGTCTGGAAGGATCAAAGAGCTCGAATGTGAATGCGCGTTGAGTAAAGGGGGAACGTTGACACGTAGAAAGAGAGGGACGGGGCGAACCCTGAGGAAAGACCACGTGGTGCGACGGTGGTCGGTCCATTTCCCGAGATCTACTACAAAAAATCGCTCAAAGACCTCGCAGAGGAGATTTCTCCAGGAAATCATGGATTTTAGTACTGAATGTGCAACTGAATCTGCAACTCCCAAGAAGAAATCCTTGGAAATTATAGAAACATTTTTACAAATTTAAGGGCGATCCTGACCTGTTACCGAATAAATGGTCCCATCGATTTTCCACCCCGCAAAGTACACCACTAACTTCCATCCGTTTCTTTAACACCCTTATATCATCGTACCCCATTAAAATTCCCAGTGAATTCCAAGGAAATTTTGACTGTATTTTTTTTTTTTTTTTAACATTATGGACGTTCGTAATTGTCTGTACGTCCTCTTTCATGCATCATGATCTCTTTAAGGAGAATCTCCGATTTTTAAAGCGCCGCGCCCGAGCCCATTACGGTCGCCAACGTTAAGGGTCGGTGGGGAAACGCTATACTAGTCGGATCCATAACCATTATCCTAATAATTCCGATGTAATCCCATCCCGAATGGAGCTTACGCACGGATACATCAACCGGAAGTGCGTTGGCCAGAGTCGGTGCGTACATAGTCGGCTGGTCCAGAAACGGGCATTGCACGCGCCGGGATACGCAACGGCCGACAGGCGGGTATTTTTTTCCGCGTCCCAAGTTTGAAAGGAACCTCGAATTCTGACGCACCTGCGGCCGGGAGCGGGGTAAAAAATGGAAATCCATTAATAAAACGCGGCGCGGACAGAGTCGATAAGTCGTTGGTGGGGCTGGAAATTGCACGTGTCCCGCGAGTCGCGGGTTGGGGGCAAGTGCCCCCGAGGCTCGCATGGAGGTACGGAAATATGGATTAGGTGATATTATGTAATGGCAGGGATATGTCGGGGTGCTGGGGGCCAGATGGCCAGAAATATGAGAAGTTTGCGCGGGACGGCACCAAGTTACGGTTACTCGGTGGCGCCCTCACGGCTTGCCGTGAAAGCGAATGAAATATCCGGGAAAATTTTTACCGACTCTTTCGCCCCGAGCGGAACACTCTGTCGGATTTGTTCGGTCAAATTAGAAGGGAGGACTTCCCACCAGTAATCGATGAAAGAGAGAACGCAGCGCCTCGAAATGACGAAATGACGCCTCAGAAGAAACATTGACGTTATCGATTTACACGAATGTCGTGACTCAAGCTGACATTTCTTCGGGGGTATTCGAGTCAGTCTTTCCTTGGGGTGGTTTTTAAAAATAGGAGAGACGAGGAAGAAAATCGCTTGAGGGCATGTAGCAGCGGTAAGGACCAAGAATCGCGTCGGCCGGACGTGGGCGTCGAGACGCCCCAGGACACGAATGCGTGCACTTTGTAACAGGATGCGCAGCTAGGATGCATCCTGCATGGTGCATCGATCGGACAGGAATTCATCGTGACCGATTGAGTGGTCGTTCACGAATTTGCCCAAAGGGGCCGATTAAATCCGCCACTCTTCCGGCTAAAACGCTTCTCTCGGGTCTTGGTCGCGACTCATGGGGACCATAGGGACCATGGGGACCATGGGGTTATGGCGACTCGCGCCTTTGCCACGATCTCCATTTAAATGAGAGGCTTAACCTTAATACGAGTCGCAGGCAGCAACCGTTTCAGATTTATTTGCTCCCACCGAGGACATTCGCGTAATACCGGCCGCGACAAAGGGTGAATAAGAAACTCCACGAAAGGCCCAGCCACTTCCTATTAATTATTCACTTCGATTAAGGGCACCCTCTCGAATAACCCTCCTAAACATCACATCGTGACAGTTTTGAAACCGTGTCCCTTCCTCGGCATTTAGGAATTTTTTACCACCGCGCTGTATTTTCATGAAATGTCAGATACATGTAATAGGCACGAAACATTATCTGCGATGTTTGGTATGGCGCGACAAGCTGGTCAGAAAATGTCTCCAGAACCTCTAGAATGAGCAATGTCAAATTTAACCAAGTGATCGAGCTTGGACTATTTTTCTCCCATTTATCCAGGTTCCGTCTCCATGGTTTATTAAACCGGGGTCCATGTTAGCGTAAAAACTCAGGGAGAAATTCATCGAAGTCTGGAACTAATTTCCCATGGAATGAAAATTTCATTCCGAGTTACGGCCTTAAAAGCCGGTGTAATGCCGCGAAAACGTTCCCGATAGCGCCGAGCCCGGGCTTATCGAGTTATTCCTACGTTTTCCCAAGCTCTCGGTCCTTTTGTGCCCGACTTCCCTTTTTCCGCCTCTCCTCGTAATCTAATTACGATTTGTTTGGCCAAGGCTTCCGCACTCTCCGTAATTATGAAGTCCGCCGTCCTAAGTCAACCGGAGGAGTCTTCGGCGTCGGCGCCGAAGTCAAAGCGCTCCTTTCTCTCCGCGCCACTCGGGGAAAAAATATTGTTCTAGGACCATCCTCTGTCCATCCTTGTGCGATGGAGTCCTGGAACCATCGACCACGACCATTCCGATCGCTGCACAAACTCCCTAGGCACCTTCCCCCCAGAGTTAAGGTATATTAACGCCCGAACCTTTTAAAATGCTTTCGATGAAACGAGACACCAGGCTCTCATTTGGAAACCTAACTCTTCTTCCACCCATCGTTCCGATGGGGAAAAAAAAAAAGAAAAAACGACGTCCCAACCGTTTCTTTCACGATCCAACAGTGGCCTCTAATGTGCACTCAGGATCCATGGATTTCAACGCTGGAAATCATGTGGAGATCAGCTGGATATCCCAAAAAGATATGAGTAAAAATTGTCTGCAATCAAACAATTCAATTCTTTTGCTCAGGGCAAGATGGCGTCCTTGTGGGTGGCGCGCACCCCATAGCGCTTAGGGACTTCTCACCAGGCTTGGGACCCTATAGAAGTCTTCGAGGCATCTCTTAACCGAATCGGAATGGGTTCTCAGGGTTCTGGAAGGGTTTTCGAGGTGCAAACCTTGGCCTCCTCGGTGCCGGCAAGCAGGCGGTCCGTCGAGGCGTGGGCGAGGATTATTCGTTTCGATCGGCGCCAGGACCTCCCATCGAGGGCAGCACATTAGGCTGGCTACCTCTGTAATCTACACGGCTATAGGACGGCCCACGAGGGCCGGTCTACAAATAGATTAATGCTGTAAATTGAACGGATCCGGTGCGAGCGTCCCTGCGTCGACGCGCGTACCCCGGGCGTAATCCTTTGCGTCGACGTCGGCCCTCGCAGAGTTATGGCCGGCCACTCCAAGTGCGAGGCTTTCCGATTGAAATAGTGCCGATCGACGAGGGCCGCGGTATTAATGCGGCAATTACCATTATTTATGAAATTCATCCCGCCCGCGGGAGGTGTTATTAACGACGGCGGCCCGTCATCCACTTTGCGACGAGCGCGGTTCGTCAAGGTGGAGTGGAACGCGTCGAGAAGTCCCATCGACGTCGGTAAAAAAACATTTTAAATACCTACGTTCTATTAATTATGTACGATTCGGGTAACCGTATGTACGGAGTAAGTTGTTTTCCTATTGTTAGGATATAAGAGACCGATTATTCCAGGGGCTGATTTAGCGCGGGGAACGGTCGCGACATCGACGCGCCAGTTCCTCGTGGGCAAACGTTTAGGTCGGAAACCTTTACGGACCTATAAAACTTTACACGAGCCACGTTACGGCCCCGAACACGCGCTATAAATTGGATGACATAATACGTTCTACATTCGATCGGCGACAAAAAGACCTTGTCGTGTTATACGCGTCTCGTAAATCACGCGGCCAACACTCGTCCGGGGACATCCTTCGATTTGAATCTCCAAGAGAACCCGGAAGAAAACGGGCAAACTCTAAGAAAAAGCAGAGTAAGAGCGATGGAGTTTAGAATCTTGATTACGGACTCTATCCTCCGGTTAAGGTAATATTACAGTGTCATTCTATATATAATAAAAATTAATTTTTCCATCTATCGCGGTATTTCCATTAGATTTGCGGGCATAGAACCTGAACTCCACTGCTTTCTTA